AAAGGTGTCCTTGGTGTACGGGACGTGAATGACGTCCGCGGCCTCCTGCTGCTGTGTCGTTTTACTGGAAGCCTGGGAAACTCTGTTTGTGTTTGTTGTCTCTGGCGGCTTCTCGCTCTGTCGCAGCGTGTGACCGTCTGCTCTGGGCAGCTGGGACTGAGTTTTCCGCTTCCATTCGTTTCTGTCAAAGACGTAGAGCTGCTCCATTGTTTTGACCGCAGCTTTGAGCTTCTCTATGGCCGCCTCGTTCCTCTTCTCCGCCGTGTCGCCTGTGAATTTCTCCTGCTTTTGTTTTGCGAGGAGCTTCGAGTCAGAACATGGCTGACAGTCGGGGTGCTCGGCCCGTGGTTTGGACGCCACAGATGGGCGTGCGTGTTCACCTTCACACGGAGCTCCCTTGGACGCCTGCGACGTTGCAAACGTGTTGACAGAGTGACACTGGATCACGATGGGAGCAGGGAGTGGGAAATGTTTACTTGACCCCGTTTTGCTGGTTTCTCCCAATTTCTCTGCAGCCTTCGAACATTTACTCTCGTTGTCCATAGACACCAAGCCGTACGAACTTTTCACCAACTTACGAACATCCCTGACGCGATATATTGGCGTTTGAAACTTGCATTTCGTCTCCCTTATGTTTCTTACCGAGAAATTTGGAAATTTATCTGCGGCAGATAAAAGATGGCATTTCCCGTCACCTGCCGCCCTGAATGTGTTCACGGCGCTGTAACTTATTTTAGGAGTTAACAGGTTGGCGATGTTGAGTGTACAGCCTTTGTTCTCTTTGACACTTCTCAGCCTTATTTTTATTTCGGGTCCGAGTCCTTTCTCCACGTCATCTTGGTTGAAATTCTTCTCCTTTGCGAGCAGCTGCCATCTTGGGACAAACAGAAGTTTTGTCAGCATGCTGCTGGTGTCTTCCTTCGCATGAGCCTTACTCACAGCTGGGTCCTCGTCCTCTTTTGCAGGTTCAGGCTCACCCGCTCTGATGGAGTTGAAGGCACTTCTCTGACTCTGGCTGAGCTGGACTTTGGAGTCCTGGTTCTGGTGCTGGTTCTGGTGCTGACTCTGTTCTGACTCATTAGGTACCTTGTTGTTGTTGTTTTTCTGACCCTCTGCAGGGCCGCAGGAGCTGGGCCTGCTGCCCTCGGGGCACTGGTCATCAGTGGTGTTAATACTTAATCCGGAGCCAGACTCAGAGCTCTGCCTTTGTAAGCCCCTGCTGAGGCTCTTCTCCGGGGACACAGCTGAGCGTCTGGCACCGACTCTGCCTCTTTCCATTTTGCGCTCCTGTTCAAACTGCATCTTTTTAGAAATCACGTTTTTTAACAGACTTGACGCTAAACTGGATTTTTGTGGGTCTCCTGTGCCGCATCGGGAATTCTTGATGGGTTTTTGACGCCCGCCTCCGTCAGGCTCCTCAACGTCGCAGTGGAAATTCAGGGTCACCTCTGTCTGTGTGGGGGGGGCTGGGTCTTTGACCTCTTTGCTACAAGTCTGTTGATGAGCGACTCTGTTGTTGTTTTGTTTGTTTTGTGAATCTTCTGAATCATTACTCGCCTTGTTCTTGTTGTCCACCGTCTTATTCATTGCCAGTGTCGCCCTGGAGGTCTGCTGCGCAATTACACCCTTTCCATTATTCCAGTCCACATAGGTGGACCATTTATTAAGCCCATATTCCGACATGGAGGACTCACTGGATGTGCTGAGATTGATGGCATCGAAGTACGGACATGCCAGGCTTCTGAAGGACTTGGCAGTCAGATTGCGCACCTCTTTATCAGCGTCATCCAGCTCACTGATGGAGCTGGACGCTCCGCTGGAATATTCATTAATATCTTTCCGTCTCAGTTTGGTCGCGAGGTGCTGACGGCCTGGAGCGGGGATGAAATATTGGGCCCTATCGCACAAGGGCACCGCTCTGGCGCCGGAGTTGTCAGGGATCCCGGCGGCCTCGGGCACCGCTCTGGAGGAGGTTTTTATGGATAAGTGTATCTTGCCTTTATTTCCGTTCTCGTTCTGGTTTTTGTACACGCTCTCGTCCGAACTTTTGTCCGAGTCACAGAGGTCACTCTCCTCCTCATCCTCCTGCTCCGTCGTGACCACAGTTCTGTCCAGGTGAGAGTGGACTTTGGTCTGCAGGCTCCTGCCCTCCATGACCAGCGTCCCCTCCTGCGTCTCATCGCTCTCGAACGAAGCGTAATCCACAAATGAATAAACCAAGTTGTCGTCCTCGAGTTCCCAACAGGTGCCGCGTCCCAGGTCGTAGTCTACATCGTGGTCCAGCTCGGTCAGCTGGATTTCATGCGTGGTGATATAGTGGGACTCGTCCTCCACGGTGTCAGAGAGCACCGCGCTGGCCCCGTCGTCGGACTCGGTTCTGCTGTTCAGGTACATGTCCGTGTACCGGAGCTCGTCGCTCCCACTGCAGACATGCTCGCTGCAGTCACTGGGCTGCAGCTCAGCGCCGAGCTGCTGGTCATTGTCTGAACACTGACCGCTGTTGAAGAGTTTGTCCAGAGTTTCCAGGGGCAGCTCACCTGGGACCAGTCCCCGCAGCTCCACGGCCTCCTCTCTGTTCGAAGGGTCGCACTTGATGACGGACAGGTGGCCGCCGTCGCCCGTAAAAGTCACTTTCACTGATTTTGCGCCCTCGGGTCTCACGTCCAGGTCCACATAGTTGGACTCGTCGCTCGTTGTGTCGCGGCTTTTACTGTCCGGTTTCTTCTTGTCCTTGTGCCTGTCCTGTAAGAGCAGCTTCCTGTGAAGTCCGGTGTCGTCCAGGTACCTGAGAGTTTCCTCCGCTGCTTCCATTTAGTCCGGTCTTATCGTCAGGTGGTCCTCGTTTACGGTGTTATCCTGACACAGGACGGAAAACTCTGCAGGCTGGGGGGCACAGCAGCACCGAAGCAGAGCACAGAGAGGGAGGGAGGGAGGACATGGGGGGAGAGAGAGAGGGAGGGTGAGAGAGAGAGGGGGTGGGGGCGTGGGAGGCTGAAGGGGTTGGGGGGAGTCCCAAGGAAAATCCCATGATTAATGTTCCAGAGATGCTGAGAGTCTTTCCTACACTTTGTATTCCTTGTCCAAAGTATCAAGATTCAGCACCTGTCCTGGAAGAACAGCTCCTTCGTCATTACAAGCAACTAAAACAGGGGTGTCGAACCTATGGTTCAGGGGCCACATACAGCCTGATTAGACGTAGAGTGGACCAAACCAGTACAATCATAATTTAATTACCTTAAAAATAACAACAATATTAATATTTAATGAAATATAATTTGAAAACAAAAAACAAAAAAACATCACCAACCTGAAGTGTTTGTGCATTTTGTTTTCACTTTCAAAGTTCACCAAGCGGGCTGGTTTTGGCCCGCGGGCCGTATGTTTGACACCTCTTATAGTATAAGGAATGATGCAAACCCAGAGATTAAGTGTTTGGAGTGTTGAACCAGTGTTGAAGACACAAGTGTTGGTTCTGGACAGAGGCCCAAATTGTT